ACTCTTTCCATTGAGTCCCGCCAAATCCTTCATTGGGTTTTTCTTCCTTTGCATCTATCACTTTATCCAAATAAGAATGAATAAACAGACATGCGAATGAGCTAATACTATTTTTTATGCTCAGCCGGGGGTGCGGCCAGGAACTGCTGTATTCCTGTGACGTGGGAATGTTAAGAACAGGCAGGCCCCTCCATCGATGATATTCCCTTCTCAACATTTTTAAACAAGCACAAATGATATTTGTAAAAAAACAAAATGTTTAATTTATTATGGTAATAAACTATTTTATACACGATATTTGCTTGCGCATTTTCTTATATAATTTTTAAGTCATCGAGTTGGGTATCCTGACCTAGGATGACAGAACGAGGGTGGCATTTTCCCCTTCCAAGAGTTTGAGAAGTTCTGATCTGAATGGTACCTGTGACTGTGGTTTTTGCAGAACTTTAAATTCTAGAGACACAAAGATCAAGTGTCAAAGTATAAAGCAAGAAAATGGATATGAAGGTGCTTAACCACAGACTCTAGTTGCAGCTGCTAGAGAGCATCCAGAGATTGCCTTGCAAGCCTGGCAGTGATCAACACATGGATTTAAAAAGTCATTTGAAGTCAACCTCCTACCCAGAAGCGAACTTCTGTATTTTGAACAATTTGGATTGAAATTGGTATAAAATCTATTACTGCTTCCCTGCCTTTTTTTTGGGGGGGGGGGGGGGGAGATTTTTGCGATAGGGCGTTTGCGCTCGCCAGAGAGAGACATAGAGACAGAAAGCGAGAAATCACCCCCCTGGGGGGATGGCCACACCGCAATCCCTTCTCCTCCATTCTCCTCTCGGAATCTTGGGCATGCATGCACACACGCCCGGCGTGAGTTGGAAGCCACGGGGTCCGGGACGCGACCGCGGTTGACTACGGGGGAGTCCAGCGCCAGCCATTATGCTAACTGCTGGTTCCCCTTCTCTGCCTTTTAAAACAGGGTCTGAAGAACATAAAATTGTCAATGACTCAGTGTGAGTAATGAGTTCTGATCTGTGCCACACTTCGCTGGTGCTCTCAGGAGCTATTGTGGCCAAGAACTGCTTACCCCTAAACTAAATAGTCCTGCCCACCGGCATGGTTTCAGTTCTGCTAGTATCTTAATAGGCATTGTGTCTGGCTCATGGCAAAACGCCACAATTCTGCCAACCTGAGTTCTTAATTCCCAGTGGACCACATTTCAAAAATGGCACTTCTATTTTTATCTGAAGTGTAATTTAATTCAGGGATGAGGAATCTGTGGTCTACAGGCCAAACTCAGGCCTCTGCGGATCTTGCAGGGCCACAGTATGACTATGGGAGGCATTGGAGTGACGTGCATCTGTTCTAGTCTATTCTGTTGCTTAGTAATAGAATACCTGGAATTGGATTATTTGAAAAGAATAGGGGTTTATTCAGTTCACAGTTAGGAGGTCCAAAGTCCAGGGGCCATCTCTGGTGAGGGTCTTCTGGCTGGCAGGGAGACCCAAAGCAGTACAGGCATCACGGAACGAGACAGAACTGGAGCACATGAATCTGCGTCACCTCATTCTCTCTCCTTATAAGCCTATCAGGAGTTAATTATGGGGTTTTCACCCCAATGACCTTAATCCTGGTCACCCCCCAGAGGCCCCACCATCTAAACTCCATACTTGGATGAAACCTTCACCCTCTCAACACTGTTACAATGGCTCACCAGATTTTTGGGAGGACACATCGAAATCATAGCACCCTTATCCCCTGTTATCTAGTGACATGGCAGAACACCATAATGAAACTAATTTCAAGGTGATGATATAATTCCAAATGATTGCTGTTCATTTTACAAGCATTACCTAGTAAAACATTAACCGTCACATTCTTTAGATATTCTCAATGGTGAAAAGAATCTATGAATATGATTTATTGTACTTAGTCAAAAGGACTAGTAATGCAGAGCTAAATAACAGATACCACATTTGGGGTGCCAAATGAATTGCATTATTTTTTAAAAAGGGTTTTTTGTTTTGTTTTAAAATAAAACAATGACCCTAAAGAAAGGTCTCAGAGTGGCTTTTTCAAAATGCACTGAGGAGGCCATTGCTGTCAAGATAATTTGACTTCTCATGTTGGCCACACTGAAGGGAACCCTATTGTAAGAATACATTCTGAGACATCTGATTAAAAAAAAACCTCACTATATTATGATTAACTTCTTATATTTAATCAAATTATTTTAAACAAGCAAAATGATGTCTCAATTTCCCTAAGGAGAACCCCCTCCCACTTAATAGCATCTCCTAATCTATCAGTCATTATACAATTATATGTATACTTGATATACTTTCTCCTGTAGTCTTTAATAGAACAAAAGCTTCTTGGCTTGTCACTTCAAATTAATCTGAAGAAGTACTACCTTTCAGTGTTCCTGTGTGGTCCCAAGAATTAGTCAAATCACCTGATGTTTGGCTGTCCTTCAGAGGTCTGACTTCCCTCTGTGGCCTCATCTTGGTGCTTGAGCATGGAGCTCCTGGCTTCCCCTGGTCGAGGTCAGATGATCCTACACAGAAGTGCACTTGGGGCCTTGTTTGGTCCTTTCTCAGTACCGTGCCTGAAGTTGTCCAGGGCTGATGACATGTCTGACATTCCCCAGTGGGAGCCACACCGTGTGGCCAGGCACCCAAGGGTCTTTCATTTAAAGCAACTCCACAATTTCAGTTCAAACACATGAAGAGAAAAGTACTACCATTTTCATATGACAACTGGGGTAAGTAAAAGGTTAAAGAAAATAATGGATAATCTACATATGGGCTAATCAGGACTAAATACAGAACTAAGCACAGTGATCGTTTCATTCCTGAGAACTATTCTGAATCATATAATAGTTTAAGAAATATTCAAGATGATTACTTTTAAGTATACCCACTGACCCTTCTAGTATAGTTTAATGAATAAATAGACCTATTTACTTTAACATAAATGTGTCTTTGAAAGAGCTCAAAGTCTCTCGTAGTATGTACATGCTGAAGAGTCTTTAAAAAGTTCACGGAAAATGCATGTGATGAAAAAAATAAGGGCCAGCCCCAGAGCTTAGCAGTCAAGGGAGCCAGATCCCACATGATCAAGTATAGTTTGAATCCTGGTCCTGACAACGTGAAAAACAGGCAGAATGTGTGTGTCTGTGAGAGAGAGAGTACACACATGTTCAAGTGTCCAAAATCCTGATGGGAAAAAGGAATAACAGAAAGGGGGCTATGGTGTGACCAGACCTCCCTGGGGATTGATTCCTTTCTCTTGATGAGTACATGTGCCAACATCTGGCAGTTAAAAAAACAAGGAACAAGAAAAATAGGAAAGAAAAAACTGTGCATGGATTTCAACATTTTTGTTTTTTGCACAAAAGTGACCTTGTTCTCTAATTCCATTTTCCCATGAACTTTTTTTTTTTTTTTTTGGAGAGGTTTTCACTATAGGGTGCATGCGCTTGCCAGACAGACAGAGAGAGACATAGAGACAGAAAGCGAGAAATCACCCCCCCAGGGGGGATGGTCACACCGCAATCCCTCCTCCTCCATTCTCCTCTCGGGATCTTGGGTACGCACGCACACGCGCCCGGTGTGAGTTTGAAGCCACCGGGTCCGGGACGCAAACCGCGGGCGACTACATGGGAGTCCAGCGACATAGCCATTATGCTAACTGCTGGTTCCCTCCCATGAACTTTTGAAGTCCCCTCCTATGTACATACATTCCTACAACCATTTGTACATGCCTCTTTTACCTTAGCAAGCCCTTTGCTTCCAAGTAAACCAGCCAGACTCCCTCTGGCTGACCACACATACTAAATCGGCATTAATCCATGAAGTTCTATTGCATTTATTAGGGTGCTCACTCATCCTTTGGCTTCTTTCCCCTCCTTAAAATTCTCGGTCCCCTGGAGTTTTATCTCCTTCTTTACCAAACCAACTGTTGAGGTCTACCTGTCCCTCACTGGCCTCTGGCTTTATTTTAGCTAACAGTGTGCCTACCCCAGGTCATCAACACCTGACCCCCTCCCATGTCGTTTCCAAGTGAAGCAGCTAGGTAGAAAGGAAGTCAATACTTCTTGAGAGTTTATGTCTCAGTTAGTTCATGACCCCAGCCAAGACACAAAGATGTAACAAATAAGACAGTACTAGGTGCGGGTGAACCTAATGTCCCCAACCAGGACATTAGCAACACAGTTGGGGGTTGGCACCTCCCTGCTAAGGGGCTGAGGTGTGCAGCTCAAACCCCAGCACTGGTTCTAGACATTACACTGTAGGATGTGGAAAAGAAGTCACTTAAATGTGACTGAAATGTTTCAGAATTACTGCCTGGTGGAAGACAGATTTAGCACTAACCAGGATTACTAAGCCTCAATCAGGTAATGCTCACTGCATTTAATTATTGGTAAAGAGGAAAGAACTCAAAAGGCCTGTGGGACTGGGTTCCAGACCATGTCACCATGTGCAGCTGGGTGAGACACTCGACTGCCCTGAACCCCAGCTTACTCAAAGGCAAAATGATAGGGCTCAGGTAGAAGATTTCTAAGGACCCCGAGTTAGAAAACTACTTGTATATTTTCTGTGAGAGCTCACACTTCCAGTCACCAAAAGAAGTCACTTCAACAGAAGATGAGCAGGTCCAGAACAGATTCCTTGGATTGGGAGGTCAAGGGGAAGCATCATTTGCCTTGATGTTTGCAGTGAGGGCTGATGGGCCAACAGCCTTAGTCCACAGTATAGGTCTGGGCCCAGGCAATTCCCACATGGGAGTAGCAGTACAGGAATCCCAGGACAGAAAGCGTCACCCATGGCCAGCCTGTATGGGAAAGACAGAGATAGAAAAGTAGTTAGAAATGCCTAGAGCAGGACCGCCCACATGGTCAAACAATCCTTTTGGAG